TTGATGAATGAATGAATGATAAATATTCAGCAAATAAAGAGAAAAAAAAAATGCAATAGAGAGAATATTTCATAGCATACATAATAATGCTTGTATGTTTATGCAAGCAGTATTATTCTAACAATGATAAGAATCAATTATAGTAAGAGAACATTATGTAAATACATAGATAAATAAGCAAACAAAAAATCTAATACATAACATTTTAATCAATTATGTACAAAACAAAATAATTGAAATTGAAAATTACAGTAATTTAGTTCTTTTTCTGTAAACGTTTATGCCAACGGAGAATTTGAATTATAAAAAAAACAAGTTAAGAAATAATAGTTTATTAATGAAATTTATTCGATCGTTTCATTTCATTCAGTATTTTTTATTTACGATCATATCAATAAATACATTCCATTAGAAAAAGATGATAAGCTAACAATTGAAGATAATCTAATAGACAAAAAAATTTTAATTAAAAAAATAAATAAAATTTTTTTCGTCAATATAAACTATATTTTATTTTCTCTTAGTAATACTTTTGATAAACTATCAAATATAAAAGATTTTTAGCAAACTTAGCATAGTTTCCTGCAATAAAAAAGATTTAGAGTAGACAAGACTAGAGAAACTTTTAAATTCTGTATAACACTAAACAGAGAAAGAACTAAGGATTTTTCATTTCTATGCAATGTGTTTCAAAACATTATCTTTCATCTTATATATAGAGTCATCCAAAAGTCACTTTACCAAAGACAATATCTGAATATTTCCGCTATATTTTGACCAAGAGGACTGAGATATTTTACCATTGATAAAGGAATGCTCATAGATCATATTTATAAGAAAAAAACATTGACAAACACTATTTTGAAGTATCATCGTTAACTTCAATAAAAAACTGTAACTTCTTCATAAGTTATGGAAAAATCATATTGCAAGTTTTTCAGTAAGTTCTTATTGTTTTGTAGCGAGAACTTTCGGGATACAGTGAGTAACAAGATATGTATCTGTGATATCGATTTCACATCAAACGACAATAGTCTAGAGAAGTAATACAAAAAAAAATGACGTATAGTTTACTTGTGATCAGTAGAACAATTCTATTGCTTTTTCATAACTCGCGAAAAGTTACAATGTTTTTTTATTGAAGTTAAGGATGACACATCAAAGTAGTGTTTATTAAATGTTTTTCTTACAAAATATGATCTATGAATACTTGTTTATCAGTGGTAAAAGAATTAACTTATTCGTCAAAATATGGCTGAGATGTTCAAAGTTTTTTTCTTCGGTAAAGTGACTTTTGTGCCATCTGGTATATATGACTTTTCTTTTTATTTATAATTCAGTAGTGCTTATAAATGATCAACTTTTTCTGTAACACGATCTAAAAGAGGTTTTCAAGTATATAGCGTAGAAATTTGCACCTTCCTTTCTTCTCCTTACAGACCATGGCAGACATATCAAAGAGTGTATATCAATAACATCTCATTATAACATACGAAACTACTTCTCTATGACATTTCTCAATGATTAAGTAAAAGAATGGCGAAGAAATATGTCCCAAAATAGATATAATAAAACAATCTTTCTGTGATCACCAAGAATAGTTACATCATGTTTCATATTTTAATCCTGCCGCGATTATGCTAACAAGTTTTATTATACGTAGTCGAATTTAACATTCATTGCTGAAGATATTTTATAAAAATCAGCTTTGAAAAGTCTGTTCTTTTGTTTATAACTAAAATATTTATGTATTTAAATAGTTAGTTCCCATATATTATTCAAAGATAGCTTTTGTAAATAGGAATAAATTCAAAGGCATTATTATGCATCTCACAGCAGGTAATTATTTGTATACATATGATTACATATTTGGTTGTATGTCTTAATAATATATTATTCTAAATGAGTCATCATTGTTTAGTCAATTGAAAGAACTTTTTATTTTTCTTTGATTTAGTTATTGTTAATATATTCTATTGCAATCTCGCAATAGAAATTTATTTTTCTTATTGATTTTATTGGCGAAATAATCTATATATATATATATATGTATCTATCGATGATTTAGTTAAGCATACTAATAACTCAAGCAAATACAGACATAGCATACGAATAAATATAGACAACGGATTTCAAGATATTTCAATTGAATCTATCAAAATTGATGTCGAACGCTATTTTCAATTGAATTATTATATAGAATGCATGATAATTTCATTGTTGATGACTCAGAATTAATAGAAATTTGATATGTAATATATTTATTACCGGAAATGTTTTACATTACATTTTAAGAAATCAAGACTAGAAAATAGTTTACTGTTCGAAATATTTTCATTGTTTATGATATTGAATACAATGTATTTCAATTAATTATCAAAAGATAAATACCTTTGCAATTAATTCAATTGATACAAGATATTAAAATATTTATGATAAATCAATGTCAAGTTAATGTTCTATTAATATTCCATATGTAAAAACGGTTCACTCACATATGTGGATAATAACTATCAAACATGTCATATCTTTTCTTTTTTTTATAAAATCTCATTCTAACATTGATATTATTAAAATATCTACTTATTAAAATTATTCTTTCAATTCATATATGACAATAAAAATAAATCTTTTCGATTTGAATACGAACAAATATTTGTAAATGATAGACTTTTTACATATAAAAACCGTTCTTATCATATTGATTTAGAAAGATTTCATCGGAGCTGAGATTTCTAACTCAATTAACAAATCGAAACAGTAATGTATGATAATCTTATGTCTCGAACAAAGAAGTGACCTCTTTTCCTCTATCTAAAAAGTTTTTTGTTTTTCATCAGCGGAGTTCCAGCGTTTTATTCTTTTCCATTGGTCACCAACTTTCAAAAAAAAAAGCTTGACTTCTCCTCAAAAATCTATCTATCGGGCTTCTGAGTTGTCAAGCATCTCCTCCAATCATGGTGACCGCGAAACAGCTCTGTATCTAGTAATGGTCTTGTGATCAATACTTGACAAACTGTTAACAACATAATAAAATAAATGAACATGTCATATACTAACAGATAGTAATTGAAATATAATAAAAACCCGCGCACATTTCAAGGTAAGTCAATAGTATTATGATTGGTATAGAATTTCTTGTTTCTTTATTTCTCTTTTCTCTTCTTTCTTCCATGAGAATACAAGACGAAAAAAAGAAAGTTTATCGTCATCAGCGAGTCGCGTGCTGTTGTCGATAAAGAAAAAGAGAAATATAGTATAGTACGCATAAGATCAGCTATTTATGATGATTCATTTATAGTTACTGGATCCTTGAGATAATAGAGGACAAGAAAACAAGTTAACTTGAGAATAATATGTGTATGATCAATGAATTTCTATATACGTAAAAACATATGATATATATCTATATATATTATGTTATAGATTTCTTGTTTTTTTTCTTCTTCATATAAAATTTATTTCAATTCATTCTCCTGTTGTTTTTTTTCTTTTTCTTTTTAGTTCTTATATAAATTTAAATTACAAAGTCTCTATTTGTATATTTATTCGTGTGATTATCTTAGGTGTTGTCATAAGACTTCAATTTACTTTAGTTTTTATTTCGTCACATAAACACACGTGTTTTTTTTGCGTCTTGTTTTGCACTTTCTCATCATTCTTTTTTTCCGACCATCGTTGTCAATGATGATGATGATGTGAACGTAGCTGAGTGTGCTGCCTGTTTGCCACGATCATTACGAGAGCGATTCATTCTTCGCCGTTCTGCACGCTATAGCTTGTCGACAACACTCGCAGCAGCAGCAACAACAACAAAAATAAATACGCAACAGTAGAAATACATTGCTCTAAACGTATACCAAAAACAAATCATTCAAGTAAAAATAAAAAGAAAAGCATCGTTTATACCATGCACGATCAGTGGTATCTCGCGGTAAGATTTTTATAAATTTCTTTTTTTCTTTTTTTGTATTTAAAATTTTATTTTGTTAAATAGAGTGAACGTATACCTGATGGTTTATATTTAATTGAAGTTATTCATTCAGGTAAATTTATAACATTTACACCTGAACGTTCAACATTAGTACAACAAGATCAGAATGTACATGTTTGTATTTATATAAATATATATATTCATTTCTTATATATTATGAAAATTAATTTATAGAATGAAGGTGAAACACAAGTATTTGAAATTCAACATATTGGCTATCGTGATTATATTATTCGACATCATTTAACTGGTCTTATTTTAACCGTGCATAAGTAATTAAATATTTAATATACATCTATATATATATATATATATTAATATAAATTTTTTTTTTCCTGAAAGTGGTTCACCTTCACCGTGCGCTCCAATTGTTCTTTGTCGTTCTATGGGTGTTCGTACACCATATCAAACAGTTAATTTTGAACGATCGAGTAATCAATCTGATGATTTTACTATATTTCTAAAACATACACGTATGGTACTTGATATTGATGGTGGAAGTCAAAGTACTAATGCCCGTCTTCTTCAATTTCCTCAAAAGAAATATAATAATTTTGAACCATCTACTCAACATTTTCGTCTTCATCCAATTGTTGATCGTACAAATCAACAACCGACTATCATCATTCCTGCTGAATATTTTCGATAAACAAATGAAAAAAAAAATAATATGATTCTAAAAATCACAAAAAAAAGACAGTCAAAAATATGTATGATGTTTGTTTTCTTTTCTTTTTTTTTTTTTCTTTCTGTACAAAATGTGTCAGATGATGATTATTTTAAGTTCCTGGTGACTCTTTATCAACATATATATATATCTATTTCTATTTAAAGATTTTGAAAATATATATAGTCAAGAATAAAAAGAGACAATGCAAAAATTATTTAATTAAGAAAAAAAAGCAATAAAAAGTTTTATTATTAAAATAAAAAAGAAAGAAAAATTAATTTTTCTTCCTTTTTTTTTTTGTTCTTATTGTTGTTATTATTATTATTATTGCTGGAATTATTTTTTTGACGCTGGCTGAGATTGTTGAGCCATTTTAACAAAGAAAACATCATCAGATTTAAGATGTGTATCTCGTCTATTGGATTTTTGTAATTTTTGTTTTTCATTACCTGGAACAAAATCTGAGGAATATTTAAATGGTAAACTACCTTTTGTTTGTTGCTGTTTTGAAGATGATAATTCAACTGGTTGTTTAGTTGATACAGTTACTCGTCGAATTGACTCATCACTTGTAGTAGATGACGAACTTGTTGATGTCAATGAGGATAATGTTAAAGAATGAGTTGTGTATGTTTGTTGCTGTTGTTGTTGTTGTTGTTGTTGTTGTTGTTGCTTTGATGAAGTTGGTTTTTGCTCATAACCTATTGCACCTTGCTCATGTTGCCGTTGTTTTACATGAGGATGATGACGACCAAATATTCGACTCCAACTTAAATTATTCATATGAGAATCAAATGATGATGAATTATAAACATTTGAATGTGGTTCTGAACGATAGTTTTTACCATAGTGATCTTTTCTCTTTGATTGATTGTTATAATCAACATAGGGAACCATAGGATAATTATAATTTTGATGATAACCTTGTGAATGATAATTTGAATAAGGTACGAGAGCATTTGATTGTTGATTATTTGGATATCGACCTGGTTGTGGTTGATAAAGTTGACCATAATATGATGATGGTTGAGAAAATACCTTTGCACTACCACCCGATACATAATTCATCATTAATTGTGGAAACATTTGTTGTGCTTGTTCCATTGGTATAGCTACAACAAAACAATTGGGTGGTAATGGATTACCAGTCATCAGTGCCTGCATGGCTTGTGCCATTGTTGTTGGCATGTATGGTGAAGTTGGATATGGATAATTCATCTTTGATTATTCAAGAAAAAAAATATAAACTACAGAAGAAAAAGCAAAGTTAATAATTTGTTTTCTTTTTTTATTAATAAATAATCAATGTATGGTATATTTTTTATTTAATAAAATAAATCTATACTTACAAGTAATAAAAACAGAGATTTTATTGCTATTTAAAATTGCTTTCTTTTTCTTTTATTATTAAGATCGTCTTATTTGTACCTTTATCAATAACTGAAATTGCTCATTTAACGTTCACATATCTTTTGCCTTGTAAGAACTTATTTTTCAATATTACAGTTACGACAAGGTTCTGATTGAATCTCTTACCGGTAAATGAATTTGATCGATGTAAAGATCTCCTTGAATTGTAAATATAAAAATGACTATATTAATAAAAATCTGTAAGAATCAATTGAAAGAATAACTATTCTTTTCTACAATAAAACCATATATAACTTGTCTATATCAAGAAAATAAAATAAAGTTATATCGTGTAGACTAATCAATAGCTATTATAAGTAATTTTGTCTATTGAATTTCTTAGATGTCTTTCTTCAGTCGATGTATCTTTAGTTACGCATCACTAAACTCGTCCACACATAGGTACAACCTTGTCCTTTTTTTCTTTTTTATTTCATTTTTTTTTCTTTTTAACTGAAATGCATAAATTACTAGTTGGCATTACAGATGTGATAAGTAATTATCCTTGTCTTTTTCTTTTTTTTTTCGTCATGTCATTCTCTCGATAACCATTAATTAACAAAGGACACAAAAATCTAAACTGGAACGTTGTAATACTATATTCATGCACATTAGAACAAGGTAGACAAATTACCTTGTCATCAATAGAGAAACATTAATTGTCAACGGTATATCTTGATGATAGAAAATTATGTCATTAACATAAAATTGAATGCAGATGCTAGAAGAAATTGAATACCATCTAATATTTTTTCAGTTAATCAATTTAGAAAATTGTTCTTTTTTTCTTTAAGTCTAAAATGATACATTTATAAATAATTTTCGAACTTTTACAGATGATTGAACTATATAATCAGTTGGAAACTTATTCAATGCTATTGTAGGAGTATTGTCATGAATAGTTTAATATAAACAAAATTTATTTGTCGGCGACATCTGCTCCTGCTATGTCGTGCGTCAAATTGACAACTAATGAACATTTTTTATATTCTGCATGCATACATTTTTTTTCTATCTTCCGTCGGGTGTTCTGTTCTTTTTGGGAGATCGTGCAAAAGAAAATGTGAGAGAGAAAAAAAGACATCGATCTTTGTGGCCTATGTATGGCTGCCGTTTACATCGTTGTCGTTGTCCTTTCTTACGCCTTCTTTATTTCTTTTTATCGTTGAGATCGATAAGAAGAATGTGACATTTTTTTTTGTAGAGAAATAGAGTGATGGGTCATCATCAATTTGGCTTTTTCAATCAATCTGTCACATTCTATTATTCTAGGTAATTTTTGCTTTGTATTCTTATTGTTTCTCTTTTATAATCGCGTAATCTTGTTTATTCTGTTGTTCATCTATAAACGAACGATTCATTCGTTGATCAAGGTCTTCTCTTTTTTTTCTCTCTGTTGTTTAATTCCCCAGATACTAACGATCATAAACATTAGTTCGATCATAGTCTTCTTTGTGTGCATGTTTCTTTGCTTTTTCTGCTTCTCTTTTGATGATAGTATAACTATTTCTAGACAACAACTATAGACGATCTCCACTCAACGTCCAACAGCTCTTGAGCATGGAAATGCACGACAGGAAACAAGATGGATTCTGATGAATCTTTTATTTTCGGAAGGATTCCTTATCGCGCTCGGTACGACTGGTGTTATTCTTCATTATTCTTTCTCTCTCTCTTTCTCTCTCAATTTTATATAAAAGCTCGTATTTCTTTTTTGTGCAGCTTTTAATGGCTTATAGACACCGTTTACATATAAATATATATATATATATATATATTTTTTTTTTCTTATATGTTTAACACAGACACATCGTTTTTTCGGTAAACAATCCGAGTATTCGGTTCTGTTGTGTTAGAAGAAAAACACTAAATCGTCATGTGAATGAGAATACTAAAATGATGTAGCGTGATGTTGACTGTAATATGCATAGGGAAGAAAAAAACCATACAAAAAAAAAATATAATCAACTCTTTGTGTGATCAGAAACATCTACATTGCAATAGAACATTCAAGGCTAGTCTTGTTTTTCTTTTTATAGTTTTAGATAAATTCATTCTTTTTTTTTAAAAATAATGCCAATCGTATAGTAACAATGATGAACTATTTGAAACGACGTTTCTCCTCCGGAGATCTTCAAAATGAAAATGATGACAGTACAATGACAATGCTGCCAACGTCAACGGAATCTCATATGAATATGACATCACAAAGTAATATAAGTCGTCCATCAGCATGGGAATTAAAATCATCAAAGTATACCAGTGCACCAAGTTCTCCTACTCGAAGTTTATCGTTTGCAAATCAGTTTATGAATGCTGCACGTGGTGTTGTTAATCAAGCTATTCAACAAATACCACATCAACCAACAGGAACAGGATTAACATCATCGTCATCTATATCTTACTCTCATCCTCATCATCACCATCATCATCATCAGTCTCAATTAACCCAAAATAAAGATCAACAACAATCAATATCGAAAGATAAACTCAAATTATTATTAGTTATTGATGATCAGCATACTGATTGGTAAATATGAACATTTAATTAATTTGTTTATTTTTTTTTATCTGATTTAAATTATCATAGGAGTAAATATTTCAAAGGCAAAAAAATTTTTGCTGATTATGATATTCGTGTGGAACAGGTTTTTATATATAAATGTTGCTTATGTACCTATGTGTCGTATCGTTAATAGGAAAAAAAAATACCATTTGCGTGATATAATATTCTATGAGAGTATGTCAGGTCTTTCCTTTTCATAAATGCAATTTACTTAATGATGATAAGTATCATTACCTGTTAGACTGAGAAAAATAAAGTACATATTGAACTGACATGCTTTGTTAGAAATAAAAAGAATAAGTAAAATATTATATTAATTCTTTTGTCTTCTTCTTTTAGGCAGAATTTAAAGACATTAATTTGGCAGCTTATTCTGATGCTGGCACTTTAGTTGATATAAATATTTACCGAAATGGAACACATGTCGTTCGGTATGCATGAATATTAAAAGGTCTTTTTAAAAAAAAACTGATTTCTTTTATGTTTAAATAAAAAAAAAAGATCATTTCGACCAGATTTTGTACTCGTTCGACAGTATGTCAGAGATATTAATATTGATTGGACAAATATTATTCTTGGTATGCAATATGGAGCTCTACCTGGCGTTAATTCAATGAAAGCCTTGTATAATTTTCGAGATAAACCATGGATTGTAAGATTTTTATTTTGATTTAAATTTAATTTAGAATAATTATTTATATAGTTTGCTGAATTACTTAATATTCAACGACGTTTAGGTACAGATCAATTTCCATTAATAAGTCAAGCTTATTATCCAAATCATCGAGAAATGGTAAGTAGTAATTTATGGATGAGTATCTTAAAAGTATTCACTAATTTAGATTTAATATATAAATTTTTTTATTAATATCTAAAATTTGTTTTTTTTTTAAATTTCAGCTTATTTCACCTCAATTTCCATCGGTTGTTAAAGTTGGACAAGCTCATCAAGGTTTAGGAAAAGTAATTTATACTAAAAACATTATGCTTTTTTCTCATTAAAAGAAAAACAAAACAAAAATTTTGTTCTTTTTTTTTCTGTTTTTCTAAGATTAGAGTTGAAAATCCATATGATTATCAAGATTTAACAAGTGTTGTTGCAATAAGTAATTGTTATTCAACAGTTGAACCATATATTGATGGACGCTGTGATGTTTATGTACAAAAAATTGGACAATATTACAAAGCTTTTATGTGAGTTGAATTGGAAAAAAACACTTAAGTAACCATTTTTGGTTTCAATTTATAAAATAAATAGACTAAATTAGTATTTACATAAGAAAAAAATAGACTACTTATAATGTTGTTCAATGTTTGCTTTCCATTATGAGTTTTTCTGAAAAATCTTGTTTTTTTTTTACATGTGTGATGTCGTGATGTTTGAGATAGGTTTTTAATCAAATAATGTTTTAAATATTCATATATTTCTAGTCGAAAATCATTAACTGGTAATTGGAAAGCTAATACAGGTTCAGCCATGCTTGAACAAATTGAAATGACTGATAGGTAGAAGTAATTTAATTAGTTTTCTTAAAGAGAAAAACATGTTTTTTGTTTGTTTCTAAAGGTATCGTTTATGGGTTGATGAAGTTAGTCAATTATTTGGTGGACTTGATATATGTGCTATTGAAATAGTTCAATCAAAAGATGGAAAAGAATATATTGTACAGGTTAGGAAGAAAAAAAACAAGCAGCTAAATTTTGTTCTAATTCAGATTTATTATTTAGGTTAATGATTGTTGTATGCAATTATTAGGCGAATCACAAGATGAAGATCGTCGATGTATTGCAGAACTTGTAATGCACAAAATGCAAATCTATTGTCGACCTGATAAACAACCAACTATGATGACGTAAGAAAAGAAAAATTTATTAATCCTTTCCAGACGGGATTTTTTTGTCGAAACAAAATAAGGAAACATGGAATTAGTTCAAATGAATTAATTTCATTTTTAATCAGCGCTATTGATCTTTCAAGAATCGATACAGTGCATATGTATGTCGCTTGTACTAAATCATAGAGCAATGCTAGTTAGATCAATTATCAGTGGTACGCATCAATAGATCTGAACTACTCCGGAACAGGAAACGCATATATGCATTAACCGTCCTTAAAGGGTTAAATAACTAATATTCATTTTTGATTTACTTTTTAAAATTATAGTCGAGTACCAAGTATTGAACAACCTATTCATGAATTACCAAAAATAACAAAAGTTCCATCAACATCGAATGATCCTAT